CATTATTATAATAATTATTATTTATATAGCGCCAACAAATTCCTTAGCGCTTTACAATGGGTGGACTAACAGACACATAATTGTAACCAGACAAGTTGGATGCACAAAAACAGAGGGATTGAGGGCCCTGCTCAATGAGCTTACATGCTAGAGGGAGTGGGGTAAAGTGATACAAAAGGTAAGGGAAGTATTAGGGAAATAGATTAGTAGAATAGTATTCAATGAAGACTTAGTGTGGGGTTTTTGGAGCCATTAACAGTTTAAGTAATATGCTTTTGTGAAAAAGTGAGTTTTTAATAATTTTTTTGAAGGAGTGGAGACTGGATGAGCATCAAACGAAAAAAGGGAAGGGGGTTCCACAGGAACGGTGCAGCCCTAGAGAAGTCTTGAATTGAATCAGAGTCTAAGGCAAAGAATTTTTTTTTTTTGTTATAGTTAGAACTATAAGGATATGGAATTCTCTGCCTGAAGAGGTGGTTTTATCAGAGTCCATACAGATGTTTAAACTGCAATTGGATAAATACTTGCAAAAACATAACATAATATAATTTCTAATTAGTGGGGTAATAGCTGCTTGATCCAAGGAGACATCTGACTGCTATTTTGGGGTCAAGAAGGAATTTTTATTTACCTGTAGTTTGTTGCAAAATAGTTTTTTTTGCCTACTTCTGGATCAACAGCAAAAACATATGTAAGGAAGGCTGAACTTGATGGACGCAAGTCTCTTTTGAGCTAAGTAACATGTAACTATGTAACTCATGTTAACTCAATATAATACAAATAACCTAATCACATCAGAAAACATACAGGGACTTACAATTACATAATATATTTAGAAAGGGGTAGGGTAGACAATAATTAACACAAAATATCTTTCATATTATCTCCCTTGCCGTACCCCAACTGGTATTGTTGAGGAAAATATATACCATAGCTCAGTGGATCTTTTATTGTCCTATAATTTGTTCTGTGTTACATCGCTGTCCTTGTTTAATGATTGGGTGTTCTTTTGTCTAACATGATTTATCCTATAATTATTATACCCGTCTATATTGCAAGTCAACGACTGTATCAAAATGTTATTTTTCACACATTTTTATAATTTGTTAATCTATGTAAAGCACTCTGAATAAGAGTGTTGCAGTAGGGTTCTTTAACCCCTTAAGGATCAAACTTCTGGAATAAAAGGTAATCATGACATGTCACACACGTCATGTTTCCTTAAGGGGTTAAAAAATTGATACATTGTACGTTTCACAACTGTAATCATACATCCACTTTTGAAATCTGGCCACTAGATGTCACCAACTTGCTGTAATCTATCTGTAGCTGTTATATATTTGCTGCGTGATAATTTTTAATTGTATTCAAATCAGGAACTTTTCTGAATTGGTGAGAAATCTTCTATTTAAGCAACGTAGTGGAGTGGTTAAAGAGATGTAATTCCTAATCTGTGACACTAATGAAAAGCTAAGCTAATGATTACAATGATAACATACAGCAATGCAAACAAATGTGTTGTAGTTGTACTTTTTTTCCCAGATAGAAGCAAGGTAGCTAGGTATTGAGGTGATGACGCTTACATAATCAAACATAAATACTGACAAATCCAAACTACTAAAATCCATCACAAATTATCTTGCATATTACATTGCAGGAATAAAACAGTTCATATTTGACAACTGATTATGTATATATGTGTGACGGTAGCCACCATCACTGGGAGTTGAAGGACACTTCCTATTCTCTTGCTGGGACCCTGGAATGCTTCAACCCCAGTTGCCGAAGCTTGACTGGGGTCTCTCTCTGGAGCTCTTTTGTTCCAGACAGGTATTGTTCCCTCTGCCTATTCCTATACAGCTTTCTTTCCAAGCAGGTATGCATCTTTGCCTGTGATAGCTCTTGACTTTATAAAGACACTTGAATCTCTCAAGACTAGCTCTCTTTTTGATTTGCACCCAGACTGGAGGAATCATGCAGCCAGCCAACCAGGGACGTATTAGCCGTGAGGCAAACAAGTTTCAGAGAAACCGCTATGTTTACATATGGCTGTCATTGACAGCCGCTAGAGGCGCCTCCGCGCCTCTCACTGTGATTTTCACAATGAGAAGATGCCAGCGTCCATAGGAAAGCATTGAGAAAGCTTTCCTATGGTCTGGCTGAATGCGCGCGCGGCTCTTGTCGTGCATACGCATTAAGCCGATAACGTCGGAAGGAGGAGGAGAGTCCACAGCGCAGAGGGAGCCCGGCGCTGTGGAAAGGTGTGTGTTTTAACCCCTTCCTCCGACCTCAGCCCGGCGGGAGGGGGGCCATGAGGGTGGGGGGGGGGACCCAATTATACTATAGTGCCAGGAAAACAAGTTGGTTTTCCTGGCACTATAGTGGTCCTTTAATGTGGATGATTCATTTTACTAAAATTGCTGCACGCCTCTACACTTTTTTTAGTGACATAATATCCTATATCTGGGAAGCAAGTAAAGAGTCATGCCAAATTGTGACCCTCTAAATTGCCCGAAAATCTGGAAGATATATACATGTGGGTTATTTCAGTACTCGGCTGCTAGCAGAATACAAATCAGGGGTCTTTACAGTAGTGGGACAAACATAGTCTGTGAAAGTAACCATGAAAATGACACACTTTTTGAAAAAACAATTTGAAAAACCCAGAAGGTTTGGCTGGGTTAGTGACTGTATAAAGGAAAACTAGCGAAATACTGGTAGTTAAATACCCAGATGTGTTTGCTTTCTACAAATATTTACTTTAAGTAGTTATTTTGCATTGAGTGGCAATGAAAGTTGTAAGCATGCCTAATTTGGCTGAGGTTTTGTTTTAAAACCGCAATTCACTTCTTGCCGTATATGTTCTACAACTTCCAAACTGTTATTGAAATCCTAGACATTCTAGATTACATTTCGTGCAATCCTAGACATATGAGTCATTTTCACACGTTATATAGAAGTTATTATCAGCAAAAATATAAAGTGTTAAATTACTGTGAAACAAACTCAAGAAAAATGGCCAAAGAGACATATATTACAAAATGGCGACATTTGGGAAAAGGCACAGCCTTTTATGTGGTTTTAGCACATTATTTATCAATCTAAAGCATGCTTGTGTTACATTTTACTAATCAGAATGGCATATCTTCCCACACCTGTCTTTTTTCTTATCAATTGGCTAAAATAACACGTTAGGTATTCCTCCTGTTGGCTATAGGAAATATCACAACTAGAGCGACATTGCAAAATGTTTTAAAGATTAATTAGGGAAGATATAAAAGCTTGTTGTTTTCTACCTTGCACAAATTTGCATATATACTTGTACTTTTAGTATATTAGGTCTCTATTGTATATGCAGTCTCCTAGCAGTGGCGTAACTACCACGATCGCAGGGGTCGCAGCTGTGACCGCCAATCACTGTGATCCCTGCACCCGTAGGCCTCCATTATTTCCATTATAAGTATAGATCAGAGTGTTGCATCTATACTGCACATTTCAGAGTGGCCTTTTATTGTGGCCAGCCTAAGGCACACCTGTGCAATAATCATGCTGTCTAATCAGCATCTTGATATGCCACACCTGTGAGGTGGATTGATCATCTCGGCAAAAGGGAAGTGCTCACTAACACAGATTTAGACAGATTTGTGAACAATATTTGATAGAAATAGGGCTTTTGTGTACATAGAAAAAATCATAGATAATTTTTACACAAAGTGCATGGTACATGGGAATTTTTACAACAGAAACTTAATCAAAATGTTGCTTCAACCAAATTGGTATCAGTAAAGTTGTCAGGACCCCTACAGACTATTATGGTTTCCTCATAATGGCAGCATAAATTTTTTTTAAATAGCATAGCAGCAGTGCAGTACAGAGTCTCCATTTTGAAGCTTGATTAGGATAGGGTGACCAGATTTTGAAAATGCATTCAGGGACACCTCCTTGCCCCTCCCGGACCCCCTCTTCACACCAGACACAGCGGCGTAGCGTGGGTTTCAGTGTCCATTCCCCCCCCCAATTTCATGTCCCCCCCATATTTCATGTACATCCCCATTTCATGTCCACCCCCCATATTTCATGTCCATTCCCCCATATTTTATATCCCCCCTATATTTCATGTCCATTCACCCCCATTTCATGTCTATTCCCTCATTTCATGTCCACCCCCCCACCCCCCACTACTGACTCACTGAGACGAAGGGGGTGAAATCTTTATCATGGAATCACTAGTAGTAGATTGCACCCCCCCCTCCTTCATTCCTCTTCACTAATATGGGGCCAGCTCATTCTGGGACATTACATTACAGACCAACAAAATTCAGGAGTGTCCTGGGCGATCCAGGACACGTGTGTCAGGATTACAGAATGATCCAGCACGTAGAATTGTGTAACGTACCAAAGAATAGTCAGGAATAGCCAAGGTCAAGGGATACTGAAAGAGACACAACGATAAGGAAAAGCCAGGAGTCAGGGATGCCAGAAAACAGGGAAGTCAAAAACAATGCCAAAGTCAAATAACCAGAATTACCAGAATCAATAACGCGCTCTCGGACAACCAAAAGGGAAACCACGACAGGGCACTGAGCAGGATGAGAACTGGACCTAAATACCCCTCCTCTAGATCTGATAGGCTGTAACTGGACTTTGACCCCAAAGGCAGTTACCAGGTTTCCATTTGCATAATTGCTGCTCAGCATTAACCCTTCTGTGAATTTGGCTGCTGCTCGGCACAACTTTTCCTGTGTGGACAGTAAATGCCATTAACCACATTTTTATAAGCGGATGAATACATGACAACGTGGCACCCTAGATTAGGGTGTGCCCAGGCACACCTGGCACACCCCGTGCGCACGCCTATGTTGGTACTATGATTTATACTTTTTAGTAGAATGATTCTTATTTTCTTTATTTTTCTTGCTCATGTTGTGTTCATCTTACCAAAATGTTTTTTTCTTTCACCATCTTTCCCTTTCTTTTTTACTCACACTCTTTCATTTCAGGTAAATGCAATTCTCTTGATCCTCACATTTTGGCTTCTTCAAGTGAAACTGTCATCTCTGAATACAAATATTTTGAGGCTGAAGGACACTCGGTAAGTTCCTGTGATAGAGACCCACAAAAGAATTCACCATGTTTACACAATGTTTACTGTGTACAGAATGATATAAATGAAAGAGATACATTTCTTTACAGGGCAGAGCAGCAAAAAAGAGGGCTAGGTGTAATGGAATTGGTAAATTCTTTGGCAATCAGCTTACTCAGAAATTTAGTTAGGCAGTTGTATATAAAGCCAACCCTTCTCTGGTTTAAGATGACAGCTATGATGATTTAAAAGATTGGGTAACCACACAAATTGTAGTGACTGAACCATAGATTCGAACATTAAACAAAGTTCCTAAGACATTAACTAAAACTAGGTGATCTTTGCGGTCCCTTTGGCTTACTAGCACATATTGGTGGTATGTGACCATACCTTTTCATAAGAGATCAATTACTGATACACAGTTAATAGACAAATGCAATTCGTCTCGTTTCTAATGTACCTTTGAAGGAATTTTGTGAAAGTTGGACGTTCGGATGCTTACGAATGTCCAAAGTTCGAATTTCCGAATTTCCGAAGTTCCAAAGTGGGTTAGGGTTAGAATCTAGGGGTTTTGGTTAGGGGTTAGGGTGAGGGGTTAGGGTCGGAATTACCGAAGTTCCGAAGTGGGCTAGGGTTAGGGTAGGGTTAGGGTTTAGAGGTTTTGGTTAGGGGTTAGGCTTAGTAGTTAGGGTTAGGGGTTAGAATCTGAATTATCGAATTGCCGAAGTGCCATTGGTCTGAATTGCCGAAGCAGACACATTTTTTTACTTGCTCGAATTTCCGAACCTAATCTTTTGCCCATGCGCATCCCTAGCAGTTAAGGAATATTATTGAAGCTTGACCAAAGTGATTACAGCTCAAACTGAATTTCCATGCGTTTAGATTATGCTGGAGATATTAAAGTCCAATATCTACATTGGGGAAGTGTGGTAGTTTACTTCACCTCAACTAAATAGAGCTAATATAAGCCTGGTTTAAAAACTAACGGGGTAAAGGATAGTATAACCAGTGTTACATATATACATGTTATTATAAGTTATTTTATAGTCAGTCAGAGGGGGGGCCTTATTTGCAATATTCTGGCCCCAAAACATATAAAATATAGGCCCATCAAGATTTAAATATGCCACCAACATGAATTGGCAAAATTGGGATTAGTAAAAAATACAGGGAAATCCGTGGGCTTTGCTAGCTCTTTTTTTTATTTCGCTTGTCAATTATCCACAACTCAATGTTTAGTAAATAAATCCGATAATGCTATATTAAGAACAAATGGCATCATGGGGGAGAGTTACCAAAGAACAACAGGCTTTAATTTGACATACACTATATTGGTAAATGTTGAAATACACTCTGTTGGTTTCATGGCTCCTCTATTTTTGTCTAAATCTAATATGTGCACTTTTTAGAATTTGTTTTATATATACTGTATATAAAATATCACAAGATATTTTTTATTCTCTTATTTGTTATGTTTTCCAGGAACAATATGAATGGCTTAATATATGTATACCACATCACAATCTACTCTGGCCTTAGTAGGTGTTTTGCCAAGCAGCTCTGGAAATATTATAATTCATTCCTGGCAGCAATATTCTGTCATTGTTACTCTTACAGACTTATTCAATAAAGGGAGAATTCAGAGTGAATTCAGAGTGAATTCAAGTAGCTGAACTGAAGGTATAGCTCACTTAGACATTTTTTTCGGTTTGGCTATTTCGACCTTAATTTTGAAATTCACTTTGAATTTTCACTTTGGTGAATACCCTGTAAGTTTTCACAAAACTTGTATCTAAAACAGGCTTTGTGAGCAGAGTCAAAAATATCTGCAATGTAGTCCTAAACCTGGCACAATGGAAGTGTTTTGTGAATGGGCTATACCAATGGGTATATGTGCTACAGCATACTTCAAATCCTAAATTGTGTTCCTTTATGGAAACATTTACAAAGGAGACAGTTTCAAAGAAATATGTTTGTTTATCAAAGGACGTGACATCAGAGGAAGGCAAAACAATGAAGGGGGGTTGCAGATATATTAATGGGACACTCAAAGCACCATAACCACTACATGGTCTTGTAGCAGTTACAATCTGTGTAGTCTATGCTATTTAAAAGCAGCTAGACCTCCTATGGAGGACTGCACCAGGAGATACCTGCTACCGTAACCTCTATGATGAACTTAAGTGATCACGGTGCTTAGAGTATCCCTATAAAGTCTAATACATTAGTAAATGTATGGTTAAGAGCACACTGTACTAAACTTCTCTCCTAAACTCTCCATAGCCTCCTGACATTTAAAGCACTGGCACAGCTATTTATACTAGGCCCAACTTGGATTATTGGCATCTTCCAGTTTGGACCTGGAGCCCAAGTCATGTCTTACATCTTTACTGCATGTAACACCCTGCAGGGAGTCTTCTTCTTCATTGTGCACTGCTTGCTCAATCATCAGGTTAATATATTGTGTTTATATGTGTGTATGGTATCTATGATGTATGGTAAGCGCATTTGTAAACAATGAATGGTGCATCAAAATAATGACTTTTTAAAAAAATGCAAGAAATCAAAATTAATAGACCCCAATGGGAATTTCTCTAGTTTTACATTGTTTTTCTTTCTTACTTGGGTACCACTTGGGTGCTAATAGAATTATCAATTACTCCGGCAGTATACAGTTATAGCTAATAACCATGAAAACAGCTAACAATAACGATGCCTGGAAGGTGCCTGTTAAACAATGATATATCTATTATCTACCAAGCAACTAACTCTGTATATATGTTACTGTGCTTATAATATTTAATATATAGAACCTAATATGTGCTACACAGTTGAGGGATGAGTACTGCAGAATATTTCACAAGGTCTGGACCTGCAGAAAGTCAGCGCCACCCTCGCCATGACTAGCAAACAAACCTCTGTAAGTATCGGCTCTGTCTGTGTAATTAGCATTTTATTTATTTCTCCATTGAATTCAGCTTATTTATATACCTAACAACTGAAAACAAGTTTATTTGTATTTTATTTTCCCTTCTCTGCCCCTCATATGTCTTGTCTCTTTTTAAAGGTGAAACAAAGTGAATGGACATTAATGAAATTGATCCAGGCACTCCAGCATATTCCAAAATGTAAAAAAAATCCAAAAGGCAATTTTTATTGGAACAAGGAACCAAAAGGCAACGTTTCGACCCCCTGACAAAGGCCCTAAGGGGTCGAAACGTTGCCTTTTGGTTCCTTGTTCCAATGGATTATTCTTCAATTGGTCCTTTTTTGGTACTGGGACTTGTCCACTAGAGCACCCTGAATTCCAGACGAAGGATTGAGTGCACTTCCATCACCTACATATATTAATGAAATTGATATCTTGTTTATATGATTTGAACAAAGTATAAATAAGAGTAAAATAAAAAACAGCAAGCAAACAATAATTAGCATCACAAAATATTAACAAAAAAAATAGTAGTATCCATAGGAAATCATTTAAGAATCGTGATATAATTTTAAAACATTTTGGACAAACTGCCATTGGAACTTGGAACATAACATAGGCCACAATCCTTCAACCTGGGGCTTAAAGTGGTTCTGTCAACTTTTGAGGCATTTGTATATTTTTCAAAGACCCCAGATGGTGACTGCTCCACTTGTAGTGAGGTAGCCTAGGGATGCAAGTAAAGTAGTTTTCATTTTTCTGAACCTGTCTATTGCAGCCACTTCCATCTTCTTCCACAAGTCTCTCTCTGGCTCCTGGTGCTTCATATACAGTGCTGTATTCTTGCACATGTGTGAGAGCACAACACTGATGTCAATGGAGGAACTTGAGGGAACCTCCGTGGGCAGAATCTTTTTTCCCCTCAGATGTCACTAGTGTTTGAAAAAACTGACAAAGCGTATCAGCGGTAGCTCTGTTGTTTTGCCAAGCATATGGAAAATACTTAAGATAAAGAAGTCCCTACTTTGAGGTATGATAATCTCTTTTGACTGGGTTGGAATTTCAGTGAAATTTTCAACACAGCCTTTAAGAGCATTTCATAAAAAATTTCTATTAATTAAATGCTCTTTTTGGGGGGAACGACAGAGCCGCTTTAAACAGTCTGCATATTTTACCCATTAAAAAAAAATTCTGCTTGCCACTAACCATTGCAAATCATCCCATCCTGAGAGCTCATATTGTTCCTTTTAATTACCCTGTGCCACGTGGATCTGTGAGGTCTCAAGCAATGCTTGATCATTAAGAAGACTTTATCACAACGTGACATCTTTATTTAAGATCACAACTTGACATCTTTTTGTATCGTAGTTTAAAAATGACATTGTTGCACATACAGTATTACAAAGAAACAAACATTGCTTCACTTTTTAGAATTGGTTAGAACATCTTTTTCTGTCACGTTATATCATGCAAATTCTGCAATATTATGTGCACAAAAGTAATATGTGCTGTAGACGGATATGCTTCAGGGATTCTATTTTATATTTTGCTTCACTTTTTCTGGAAGTTACATTTTATTTATTTTGTGAATTGACACAATTTATGTACTATTGCCAATTATTACATTTAAGAGTTTATATGTATATACATGCATCTCTAGACAGATAATAGAAATATAAAAATAAAGCGAAAAGATTAAACAATCATTTTCATTTCATACTGTGTTCTAATGAACTAATAAGTCTAATGAACTAATTGTATCTGATAATAACATCACCTGTTGTTTAGACTTGCGAGTACAACATTCACTATTGAAGCAAAACATGGGGCAATGGACAATAGATTAATAAAAAATGAATCTGCAAACCTGATATGTTGCAGAAATATGTATGTATGTATATATATATATATATATATAATATATATATATACATATATATAAATTGTTGTTCACAGGGCTGGCCTTAGGCATTTAGGCACCCTGTGCAAAAAAATCTTGACAGTGCCCCCCCCCTTTATCCATGTATAGTGTGTGTGTGTGTGTGTGTGTGTGTATATGGGGGTGTAGTATTTGTATAGGGTACAGTCATACATACATTTACATTCACACACACACAGTTGCTGTCACACACAGTTACAGTCAGTCACACACACAGTTACAGAGACACACAGGCAGACAGTCACACACACAGGCAGACAGTGTCTGACACACACACACATACACACACGTAGACAGTGTCACACACACACACAGGCAGTCACTCACACAGTTACAGTCACACACATAGGCAGACAGTCAGCCACACACAGACAGTCACACACAGACAGACAGTCACACACACACACACACAGGCAGATAGTCACACACACAAGCAGATAGTCACACACACGCACACACAAACTCACACACAAACAGTCACACACAATTACAGTCACACACACACAGTCAGACAGCCAGGCAGACAGTTACAGTCATACACACATACAGACAGTCACACACACACACAGACGGACAGTGTCACACACAGACGGACAGTGTCATACACAGATGAACAGTGTCACACACACAGACAGTCACACACACACACAGTTACATACACATAGGCAGATTATCACACACATACAGTCACACACACACACACATAGTCACACACAATTACAATCACACACACATTTGCAGTCACACACACAGATAGTCTCACACACACACACACACACACAGACAGACAGTTTCACACACAGACAGACAGTCACACACAGACAGTAACACACGTAGGCAGACAGACAGACACACACACACACGCAGACAGTCACACACACAGGCAGTCACACACACAGGCAGACAGTTACACACACAGACAGTCACACAATTACAATCACACACACACAATTACAGTCATACACACACACACAAAGACAGGCAAACAGTGTCACACACACAGTCAGGCAGACAGTGTCACACACACACACACACACACACATACACACAGGCAGACGGTGTCACACACACACACAGACAGGCAAACTGTGACACACAGTCACACACACAGTCACACACACACATGGGTAGACAGTCACAGACACAGTTGCAGTCACATCCACAGGCAGACTGTCACACACAGGCAGACTGTCACACACACACAGGCAGACAGACAGTTACACACACACAGGCAGATTGTCACACATACACACAGTCACACACAATTACAGTCACACACAGGCAGACAGTTACAGTCATACACACAGACAGTCACACACACACTGATGGGCAGACAGTCACGCACACACACACACACACACACACACATACAGGCATGGGTAGACAGTCACACACACAGGTACAGTCACATCCATGGCCGGTGTAAGGATTTCTGCCACCCTAGGCAAAAATCCATTTTGCCACTTCCTCATGTCACTAACTCACTAACAGACACACACTCACTCACTCACGGACACACACTCATTGACATACATACTCACTCTGAGACACACACTAACTGACACACACACACACACTGACATACATACACTCACTCATTGACAGACACACACACACACATACACACAGTCACTCACTGACATACATACACTCACTCATTGACAGACAGACACACACACACAGACACTCACTGACATACATACATACACTCACTCACTGACATACATACACTCACTGACATACATACACTCACTCATTGACAGACAGACACACACACACACACAGACACTCACTGACATACACTCACTCACTGACACACACACACAGAGAGACACTTACTGACAGACAGACATACACTCACTTACTGACAGACACACAAACACACACACGCACACACACTGACATCCATACTCACTCATTGACAAACACACAAACACACTCATTGACAGACACACACACAAACACACACAGACATTCACTGACATACATACACTCACTGACAGACACACACTCACTGACACACACTCACTGACATACATACACTCACTCATTGACAGACAGACACACACACAGACACTCACTGACATACATACACTCACTGATATATATACATACACTCACTCACTGACAGACACACACTCACTGACATACACTGTGATTTTTGGATATGTTGTTCATCCAGATCAGGGCTATCAGGGGATGTGGGGATTTGTGGTGTGTTGGGGTGTTTTCCAGACTTTGTAAAAATGTATAACGAGTGCAGTGTTCTGGTATTAACAATACAGGTAGTTCCCGACTTTACAAACTAATTGGTTCCGAAGCCTAGTTCATAAAGTGAGAGTTCATAAAGTGAGAAGTAATTTCCCATAGACACAATGTAATAAACATGGGTTCCGTTCCTAACCAACACATTTTACCATTGAAAAACCTAAATTATTAAGTACAAATACAACATGTATGTTGTAGCAAATACATATATGTTGTAGGAATTTTAAAGGCATGCATACCATATTGAAATCTTCATCAAATTATCATCAATTCTCATACTATTCAATGAAGAGACATGCTGCACTTGTTGAATGGGGAACCTCTCTTAAACCTTCCTACTTATTCATTTTCTTCATTATCAACTTCCCCCTTTTTCAGGCTTTTCAGCCCTCCTCCTGCTCCTTACTATTGCTGCCTGCCAAAACATGGCACAATGGCAAACACACATAGACACAGACAGCTATGTCAAAGACACACACAGACAAATCTATACTCAATAGCACACAGTGCAATGATATTACAGGATCTGTAATGTATGCCCATGAAAGCACAAAAAGAATACAGTACAATCTAAACCTTTTTTTTAGACTTCCCTGTTCCTGATCCTCATCTCTCTTCTTGTCTACTCCTGACCACAAATTCTTCTTCTTCTCTTCTTGTTTGTGCTCCAAAGCACTCTTCTTGGTCCTGATCCGTGGACCAGTGACACAAAATGGAGGTGAAACAAAATGGCGGCACATCCAAAAAAGTTCACAAAGGCAGGAGTTCATAAAGCGAGAGTTCATAAAGTGAGAAATGCCTGTATAGAAATATGAAAATCGCAGAGGGTTAAGAGGGAATAAGAACAATATATACTTAAGCTCTAAAACTGAAAAGAGAGGATTTCACCCAATCCTATAGAATTTATAAAGAAAAATACACTGAAAAAGTGAAAGTATCCAGGAGCTCCAAGTAGTATATAAAAGAAGAAAGTGGGTAATAGCCTAAAATTGCCATTTAACCCTACGTTGTCATTATAAGTTGGGGCTAGGCTACCTATGCTACATTCATTGAACATTTATTTTGGACATTTACTGTGGACTTCTAAGCTACCAATAGTCATATTGGACTACTAACTTTCATTGGCTATTATCTTATATTCTGCTCTTAATTTTAATTTCTGTACTTTGGGGTTATCTATTTTTATTTTTAATTTTATATAGTTTTTACGAATTAGGTTTTAAACAAAATCGTGGACTCTTAAATAACTTGGAAGTATCTTGGATCAGGTATTCTATTCGATGATTATACCTTTTATCACAAGTTTGTTGTGTTAACTTATAACTGAACATTGATCAAGCTTTTTATTGTACTATCAGGTCCTTAATTTTAGGCTATTACCCATTTTCCTCTTTTGTATACTACTTGTAGGTCCTGGATACTTTCACTTTTTCAGTGTATTTTTCTCTTTGTAAAAATGTATGTTTTTCTGCTTAGCGTTAATTGAGTTAGTCCATTGTCTTCGTTAATTGTATC